AAAATTTAATGAAAATATTCAAACTTGACGTTTGTTACCAAACCAATTGCAGTCGAGTTATTTTATAAATATTTAAAGTTGGTCATACTGTGACAGTGTGACAATTGAGATGATATCAGAGGTATCAAAAGGTTGTCAAGCTTTCGTTTCTCATTTCTTAAAATTTGATCGTTTAAATTGTGGGTTTATTGCTATATGTAATTATAGCTAATCGCCTAAACATTGAATAATGCGGGTACTACCAAAACTACGACAAAATAACAGGCATGTGCGACTTACGAAGTAACAGAATTTGTACGAATACTTAACCTCACTTTGAACTCACTTTTTACACTTTGAAGATCCTTTTGTAAGTAGTAAGTAGTTGTCTTTTAGGTCGAGAAAATGGGAGTGAAATATTCAAATTTTCATATTTATATTTAGCTTAGATCGATCTAAGATATTTAGACTTTTCCGGCTATAAATTTAAACATAATTTTTTTGCCGTTTCTGTTATATTTGGCGGCGTACAACTTTCATTATTTTCATTTTCGCTATCCATCTTGACACTTTCAAACTCGATGCGTCGGTAATACAGTGATCTTTTCCTTTGAGTTCAATTCAGCAACTTTATTTATATTAAAAATGGTCTAAATTAGCATAGGATGTTTTATTTAATTTAATATTGATTTTCAATTATACAATTTTGCATTCACATTTTTGTTTTTTGTGTTATTAAATCTAATTCTTAGATTTGGGCAAGTCCTATATTTCGACACAAAGGGAAGTTACAACCAGATAAATTGACAGATTGATTCTTTGTTTTTTATGAAACTTTCTCATTGGCTGGCTGCGGTGAGTTTTTTTAAAGCCATGCCCAGTGATTAATTATTACTCACTGCTGTTATCCAATAATGTGAGGAATTTATACTCTTACTTCATAAAATTGGAACGTTTAATGTATTCATTAACCCATATGAGTAGAAAAAATACATTTTGTGTAGTTTTAATTAGATGGACTTTACCATTTTCTTTATTTTATTTCCGTTAACTGGATTTTGTACTACCCTTTTGATTGCTAATTGTTTGTAAAAAAGGCAGGTTGAAATTTGGACTCAGTGCTACCTACTTATTTCTGCCGCAAAATCTAAAGCGTGGTAGTGCAGTTTTCGTTTTAAGTTTACTATGAGGTCTGCGCGAATAAATGAACATTTCTTGTGTGACATCGATCTGGTGTTTTTCCAATCCACGTATCCACGCACAGGAACACATATTCATAAGGATCAGAATACAAATGTACCTGTAAATCAAATTGCCGATTGTCTGATTCTAATGGTTTAATATTGGGTGGTACCCTCTGTATGAGCGTTACAAATCCTTGAAACTTTCGAAATTAAAAACAAGGGTATTATTATATCCCTACATCTAACTTAAACCGCATTCAACTTCTCCAAATTTATGTGAAAACGATGTTTTGCTATAAAACTTCCCAACAATTTATCAGTTTAATGTACTGTTTAGAAATTAAACCATAAATTTAAAGTGCAGAAAATGAGAAATATTTCTCGACAATAGGACTCTATACAATATTCCACAGTTCCATCGCTTCGATCGCTGATGAGGTTAAATGCGATGAATGGATAATAGAAACGAATCCTGTATCTCTAAAGATTTATTGAATTAGTTCTTACCACCCTTGGTGTATAAAACTGTGCGAGAAGTGTTCAAGTTTAATCATCGACCCCTGCAGTGTAATTAAGTGATTAAGCGGGACAGTTGCAAGGTGTTTTTCAAACACTACTTTTAATTTGAGGAGTCTATAAATATTAGCCAAGACTAAACGTAGTCTCATTTATTTACATCGCTCCAGATAATCGTAATTAGACCTGACTTTTGTCGAACTGTTGGCCAAGTGTAGTAGTAGATCGGTGTATGATTTTTCCTTATAGTATAGATTTTAGTCACTATGTTGTCCATCGGTTTCGGGATGCTCTCTAGCTCTTTTTCTGGTTTTTGATAAGGGAGTGGGGAGTTACCTATTTCATTCTGCGACCCACATAATGTATTGTTTTAATGGTTTCATCTTGGGTGACTTGTTTTAATAAGAGCTGCGTTATGAATCTTTATTTAAATTTACTACATTTTAACGTGAACAGGTTTGACCCTATAGCTTTCGACTGCTACTTACTCAATAAGCAATAATCCATCCCATACCGGATAACTGGAAAAATTAAATAAATTATCGTTTGACATTTGCGTAAAAATCACTGCTGCCTCGGAATGATTGAAACAAGTTTACTTTACTTGTTTACATCTGTCAAAATGATTTATAAAGTTGGTTTTGTCATATTTTCGTAAAGTTATTGGGGTTAAAATGTATCCAGTTATTGAAAAAGTTCAAATTGTAAAGATGGTGGTATTCTGGAAACAGATCCCGTGCAATAAGGGATATGTTTGGCGTTAACTTTCCAAATAGAACATTTTCTTCTTATACAACAATTCAAAGAATTATTCGAAAGTTTAAAAGCACAGGTACAGTATAGAATATAACAGACAATGAACGAAAATGAAGTTTGCGTCTTAACTACGGTAGTGGAAAACCCCTGAGAAAATCCAAACGAAAGCTATAAGACTAATCAGTGCATATTGTGACATTCATCATACTTCAGACTAAAGTACACAACATTTTAAAGAAACATAAATTTCGCTCACATTGTTATCAGTGCATGTAATCAAGAACTACTACCACAGAATTTTGATGGAGAAGGCCAACAAAACTCGAAATTTCTTAACAAATATGTGTTTTACAGATGAATGTTCCTTTACGCTCCATAATAAACTAAACAGTCAGACGTTGGATGCCCGTCACTTTTACACATTTAACTAGTGCAAAGTAACTGAAAATGCCGGAAGATGAAATAACAAATGAACGGTTGTCCAGGTCACAATACCAGAGACGTACTTGAATATTTAAATGAAAATTCTAATGATAAAGTCATAGGTAATGGACGCGCTGAAGCCCTGATAATTCTATTAACGATTTTCATTTCAAGTTTTTACATTAGCAAAAGGCATAGGGATAGACCCATATCAAATCCCCGAATATGGCAGCCTTTTTAAAAAAAACAGTTTTGTGATTATTATAATTTTTATCCTATTATTTGTAAACAATTCTGTAAAGGTGTGAGCATTCATTTATGCTGCTAAAATAATAAAAGTGTAATTTTCTAGTACGCTGCATGGACGAATTTTTGGGTCAATAATTTCACGGTACGAGTGACTCCTAATTTATAATTTCCTTAATTTCTCCGATTTCCCACAGCACACATTTACAACTGGGCACATGAATAGACGCAGAATTTTACAATCTACAAACAATTTATTTACAACTTTGCTGTAAAATAATTACGAGAGAATATTTTAATATAAAGAAATTACTATTGCAATATCTGTAGTGCGCAAACCAATGCTACATCCTGTATGTGTAGATTTGTCAGGGACACAGGGCCATTCTTAATAGTAGAACAGGGACACTATCGCCCCTCCCCCTCCCTCGGTAGGACTTCGGTGCTCTAAGATTTCCCCGGTGAGAAACCTTGATCGCCCCTCTGCCATTATGCGCCATTCCGTATGGTTTAAAAGACTGGTTTTATGGTAAAAATGTTCGAGTTTGATTTTATACAATTCAGCCTAGCCCAAAATACAAAAACGAACGATAAAAAAATACAATTAACTTACTCTATCAAATCGTTTACGTTTTTAGTGTACATTTTTGCCCAATTTATGTTTATGTTTCGATTATATGGTCCTGGGACCTGGGCCCGTATGAATAAAAATAAGCAAATGCTTATACTTGAAAAATTCAAAGTAAATACTCGTAAGTGCTCCTCCGCACTGGGCGACTTAGCAGCGCTGCTAAGCAGTAGGACAGGACGCAGTGCAGCGCTGCTAAACAGACCAGTATGAAGGGGCAGTTACGAGTATTTACTTTGAATTTTGCAAGTATAAGCATTTGCTTATTTTTATTCATACGGGCCCTGGTCCGAACTTAAATTTATATTTCTGATCATTAATTTTAATGTGTTTGCTACGTGTACTGACTTGTTTGTAAAATACCAATTTTCGCCATGAAGAGAAAGTCACGGGGGTGGTAAATAAATGTAACCGCATTAGTTACGACATCTAATGCCGGCACTGTACTCGAATCTCAACTATAGACTGGGAATTACCGCACGAGGGCCCATAATTGCTACAGGGCTAGATCTCTGCTAACACAAAACTCGTACGTTGAGAACCTATGTGCAATATATGAGTAGGGATTCACTAATTTCCACACGTTGCTTAGTTTTTACGTTGAATTTGACGAGCAATTCCATGTACCTTCCCATGCAGTTTTTCACAAAGGATTTTATTGCACCAAATATGAGTCACATTCTGTGCATTTCACACTTTCTTAGAATTTTTGCTACCTGCTTAGGTATCTTAAACATGTTTTTAACTTTGACTGCACCCAACTTGAATTTATGAATCAAAGTTGTAACCGGGAATTATACTAATTTACAGTTGTAACTGGGAATTATACTAATTTACAGTTGTAACTGGGAATTAGTTTATAATTTACAGTTGTAATTGGGAATTACACTAATTTACAGTTGTAACTGGGAATTAAACTAATTTACCGTTGTAACTGTCAAGGATAATTCCCAGTTACAACTGTAAATTAGTATAATTCCCAGTTACAACTGTAAATTAGTGTAATTGACAATTACAACTGTAAATTATAAACTAATTCCCAGTTACAACTGGAAATTGGTATAATTCCCAGTTACAACTGTAAATTTAGCATAATTCCCAGTTACAACTGTAAATTGGTGTAATTCCCAATTACAACTGTAAATTATAAACTAATTCCCAGTTACAACTGTAATTTACAAAATAATTTCCTATGTGTCCTATCCAGAGCTTCGTAGAATCCCTTAAATTAAGTACATACATAATTCACAAAAGTAATATGAACTTACCTAAGTTACAAAAAAGTCGAACTCCACAAGATTTATTAATTAGCAAAATTAAGTGCGCTATGATGTCTCACTTCGCAAGGACACCACGATAATGAGAAAATGTTGACCACATATTGTAGTAACAGCATTGAATAAGATTTATTATTCAATGGTAACAGATTTGAATTTAAATTATTACATTAACCATTGAATAATATTATTCAATGCATTAACTGAATTATTTGTTATATTATACTAGCAGCGCCATCTGTTGAGGTAATAAAGGACATTAAAATTTCTTTAACAAGATTTCTATTTTTATTTCAAATTATCTTATGCGTTTCACTTTGTGTATATTGTTAGTAAAGTTTAAATAATTTTGAAAGGATCACTGGTGAGGGTAACTGATTTTTAACCGACAAACTTTGCTTTTATTTTTATTATGACATCAACGTGCTTGTAGCATTAGCTAAGCTTTTTTTAATATATCTGTTTATATGTTTTCACAAATGAACCTCATTATTAATTATATGTTACAATTCCAGTGCGTATCTACTAATTTAAAATTTACACGATTGTAGGAAAAATGTTGGTTATCATTTTATCAATATACTCAGTATGGTGGCCATCCCCGGCTTCTCTTCGGGGTGACACACTGTACACATTTAGCTTGAAGTGTAACTTTTGATTGTTAAACGATGAATAAATTAGAGGGCCAAGCAAAACAACCTGATGGTTAAGGAAGCAAAATTCTCCGAAAAAATGATCTATATTGAGTGATACACAAACTCTGTGGTTTTTATGGAATGCGGAACTACTAATAGGGCGGAAATTTGGGTGCTGTGCAATCAAAATTTTTGGCAATCGAATCTGATTGCGCCAGACAGTAAATCGGAAGTTTTGGTATGTTCCATGGGTCTCAGATTAGAATAAACTGCTTCAAGGAAGAAACCTAAGTAGACTACCGGGGAAAATTAAGACACCACAGATGCCATTAAATTTCCTGTCAAAGTTGATGTTCCAATAATATGCTTGGCACAAGGGTTTTAAGTCAAGTTAATTTAGGGGTTCCCCAAGGGTCAGTTTTGGGTCCTACCATTTTTAATTTAGCTATTAGTAACGTCGTTGGTTGTACTAGATTTTTGGAGATGACTCGAAGTTATTCACAGCTATTAGAAATAGGCAAGGAGAGTAATGGATCTTAAAAGGGAACTAACATCGCTTAATACGTGGCTTGAATGAAATCATTTGTCATTTAACACACCTAATTTACTGTTTGAACTTACTAAAATGGAAAAGATTTTGTTTCGAGAGAGTAGGTAGGTATGTGGATTTGGGTGTGGTTTTTGATGAAAAGTTAACGCGCATTACTCTGCTATTATTACCAAGTAAAGTACCGTAAAGTCTTTCGAATTATTGATTCAATTGAGTATTAATTACGGGTTAGTTATACGAATACCTGATCAGTGTCATACGTTAGCATTGCTTACGCAATATTTTATGTGCCGCGCTATTCACTACCTCTTTTGCTTGTTTGTTTGTGTTGTTGCCTGTTACAGATTGGCAGAAAGTGTCCTTCTTGAGCTCAATAAGGCCGCTGCAACCTGTAGTTCAACAAGTAATTGTTATTTTTCGACGTCTCCTTGATATAACGTTTTTAAATATAAAGATTACTCTACCTCCACCCTTTTGTTTCTTGTCGTAATTGTACATGAACTTTTAAATACAGAAAGATGTTAATATTGCTGTCCACCCCCATCATAACTTTCGCACAATCTTTCGGAGTATACCTTAGAAAAGGAAAAACTCAATCAATTTGATATTATTTACCTGCAACATACAAAAAGTCAACCAATATTGACAAACCAAGTTTAATGTATTAATTTGGCCAAGAACAGAAAGTTCAAAGTGTCGTCCACATTTACGTGATAGGTACATTATTCCCTCTCAGTGTAGTGGAAGTAAAACAAGTAGTAGGATTCAAAATAGTACATATTTCTCAACCACCCAAACCTACCTACTTATACATGTAAAATGATATCAGTTTAAAATTGGACGGGTTTTGAACGACTGTCTTTCAAATATGTGTTTGATTACACCTCCCGAAGGTTACCTGCCAGATGTTTCCATGTCAAGAGTGAAACTCAAGCTATTGTAACCGTTGTAAAACCCTTCCAAAATGGACCAGCGGAATGGAATACGTAATCACCTTCTCCCTAAAACGTCGCTGCGCGAAGAAGGATGATGGCGCAATTAATTTTAGTTGACGTTGATGGGTTATTTATATAATAAGTGCTAAAGTAAACCTTCAACGTATGAAACTGATAATATTCATACACCGAATGCTGAACGCCGTGAATAGTGTCTGAGGATAAAGATTGTTCCACCGTTTAAGTGCGCCGTCTCTCGTTTTTCCGCTACATTTGCTTTAAATTTATTCAAATAGAAAAGGAAAGTTCGAAAATATCAGATAATTGAATTTTGCTACTAAAATTAATTAAGTAAGCGACGTGTCTGGCAAAAATTTAGTGTTATCCGCTTGATTTACAGGTTCATATTATTTATTCTCTATGGAAACTCTAAATCTACGGTTCAGTGAATCCACGCCATGGTGAGGTTGTTTGCGTGCGGGTTCACGGTTGAAAAGTTTGGATGATGTACTTACTAATACAGTTCGCAGAATGGAAAAACAATTGTCTACAACTCCATTTCTTTGAAAAGGGAAATGTTTTTCGTTTAGCTTTATACAGTAACTAGAAACAAACAAGTATAAATTATGCACAAGCCCATTTTTTTAACCCAAATAGCTTAGTAAATGGTTGGGTTATAAGGAAGGAGTATGCTATCGATGTTTACATTCTTGGTAGATGATTATTGGGGAAGAGGCTCTTTACACATAAAGATTTAAAGGCCGCCGGGCATACACTCAGAATCCTCCGATACTCTATTCCGCAGATATTTGCACTGAAAACTTACCCAAAGATTGCATTTTATGAGTACCCTCTTCCGACACTTCATTGTGAAGGTATTAGTTTCGGCTTCACCAATAGATACGTCTCATCCAGTCGATTCATTTTACCTTTGAGAGTACTTTCCTCCGACAAACCGTTTTTGAGATATTCGCTGTTAAAGTTTTGACATCACCAATGAAAATATTTGTTTCAAACGTCCCAATCGACCTTTATGAGTACCTTCTTCCGACAATCCGTTCTGCGGATATAAGGCCATATATCTGATCACGATAATGGGTCTACAGGGTTATGATTGGTAGAAATCCTTTCGTTGAGACCTTTCATTAGAGTACGATGAAGGATAAAACCAGTTCCCCCCCCCCCAATCCCCTCTTTTAATAAGGGGTCAAAAGTAGTAGGTAGAAAACGGTTCCTTTCGTTGATACCTTTAACTAGGATATCATGAAAGATAAAATTAATTTCTAACTCAGGATTTGTAACTCAGGAAATAATTTAAGGCCCCCTCGCCCCTTAAGACAGCTAAATTTGTGACCTGGCAAAAATTATTGCAAAAAATTCCAGGACTCTAGGACCATTCCCTGTGAATGGGATATTATGGAATGTTCACCCTAAACATACATAGATAGTCCATAACTAAAAGTGTCATAACTTGACATTTTTAAGGGTCGGTACGTACAGGTAAAGCAAAAGGCAGACGTAGTGAAAGGTGTGTTTCGTTTTCGTATAATTTATTACATAATATCACAGATTTAAAGTTAAAACTGTGATAATATAATTGATTGGCAGTATATACTGCCGTTTATAAACTTTTATTAATCTACACACTATACTAACATGTTATTTAAATCACCTATCTCATTAGAATGGTTAATACTTAATAACATAGCCCCTCTGTCATAAATTAATATTTGTTTTTGTCTGTTTATGTGTGTATATTATTTTTTGGTATAACTTTTTTTCTCACTTGTGTCTTTAATATTTTATACAATTTTTTCTTTAAATACCTACTGTACATCGTTTTAATTTCAATTAAATTGTCCTCTAATTGACTTTTGTAATCTATTGGACAATAAACTATTATTATTAAGGTTATTACATTCTGCAGTATTCCCAAAACCCGTGTAGGGGCGGGATAGAATACCCCTACTGCAGAGGCACTGCATGTCGTAAGAGGCGACTAATCAACTGCTGTTCGCTCAGCAATTCCGGTAATTTAGGTGAATGTATGTTTTAGGATTTGCACTCTAGATTTTGGAACTGTTAGGTAATAATAATAATCGGTATTTATTCTTTTGAAATGGTTTCCAATTATATAACATATCAGTCAATGTTAAAGCATTACAATATATAGGTTGGATGGATGAGGAATTTACTGATTGCGACTTACCTACATTTCTCGACTTATTAGTCAGTATATTTTCATTTTGAACATTTTATTGTAACATAAATAACGGGCGATGAAAAATGAATTGCTGTCGAGTCGCCTTTGGAAGTTCAAGTTAAGTACGATTTTCCATGCAAACAAAAATTCCAAAGGTGACTCGACAGCAACTCATTTTTGATCGCATAGTATAAAAAATAATACAAAAATATACTGTGATGGAACCGACTTTGCACGCTAAATTCGATTTAAATATTTGCAGTATTTATTTTTTTAAAAACGCGCGAATGTTTAGCTTAACATTTCTGATAGGGTTAGTATTAAAATATAGCACGCGGAATTCGAATTTTCCCTTTCGTTTTATGCAAGAAAGAAATAAAAGGAAATTCCGTTGTTGAGCTTGGTGGGGGGAATAACGCTGTCATCCACTACAAGTATACACTTATTTTTCGTGTTTAAATTGTTTCGCCTGGTAACCAGGGCTGCTCCATCTTATGTTAATTCAGATGATCTTATTTTTTGTTTCTTTTGCCTTTAGTTTAGGTATTTCATACCGAGTGATTACATGATTGCGTTGCATTACTAGTTAAAGTAATGTCATTGTATAGCTGCATTATAGTACTAGTATTGCAAGTAGCCACATTATGCCATCATTCAATATGCATCCATCACCCGTGTGCACAATTTAATAATCGTATACATAATTAATTTTGTAGCTGTGTCTCTTGGTTGCTGCAGTTTGGACATCGACAAATTGTTTGTTGATAATTGAATTTCTTGCAGCATA